AAGACAACATTTTTCCCCTAAAAAATCTAAGTTCAAGGGAGGTAATACTGATATTGTGTGCATAGATGTATTAACCTTGTCACATATGATTGTGGTTGATGACCAGAACTTATTAAAGTTGAAGTTAAAACACCTTAAGAAATAAAGAACAAATAGTGAAAAAGCTGAAAAATTTAAATCAGAATCTGGAAATTCAGGCTATTTGTTGCCAGTAGCAACACAAAATTCCTTCTCTAGGAAGTACACGAGGAGAAATCTGATGTGTCCTAAGTCTCCTTCTAGTCCATGAACCAAAACTTGCGTGACTTCACCTGATGATCTCTCACTTTATAAGATTGCATCCATATCCAATAATCTATAATCTAGTACTTTTTATTAAGTAGAGAAAGTTAATACAGCATAGGAGCATACTTATTGTGTATAAACTTTGGCCAATGACTCTTCACCGAGCTTGTTGGCGCAGTGAGAGCGAACCGAGCTTATTCAACATCAGGAAGAAGGAAAGACAGTGACCATTATATAGTCGTCTCTAGTACTCGTCTCAGCTCTAATCTACACTCATTCATATGAGTTTTCATAAATAGACTATTTGTTTTTACTATGTTATATATACATGAGCCTAGTATTTGTATTAGCACGTTGTTGTTGATGTTCGACTAAGGCGAAAGAGAGAATGTTACTTCTTGAGGGTTTTGGTGCTATTGTGTTTGTTTTTCATGTTTGGTATCTGAGGTAACAAGCGGTGTCTTGTGTGGCTGTGATTGTCTGAAGATCGAACTGGCAACTGAACGGAGACTGAGCTAGAACTAGAAGAATAAACCACTCGTAGCAGATCACGGAGCCAGAGACCAACAGGAGACATATCTCAACGGCTAGACCGGAAGCAGCGGGAATAACCTATCCAGAATACAACGCCACTTCGCCGTAACCTATACAAAACGCTCGGTAAATAGGGGAACAATGCAATAATATCATCTGAACCTTACTAATATTATGAGTATAAATTTCTGATTAAGTAGTATAAAATGATGCTGAGACATATCATTATCTCATAGTGCGAATAGCTCGAGTTTACAACGACACATCTTACAGCATATGACAGAGATGCCTATGGTATTTAGCTTTGCTCTACTAAATACATTTACCTATCACTTATGCCCACAATACCATGTCACTTTTTGTAGACTTGTGGAATTTCACCTACACCACATAGCTGATTGAGCAGTGAGAGATTATGTTATTGTGCATTAGATAATTATATATGGCAGCGTGCTTTTCATTATCATATTCGATAAATCACTATCAGATATATGAACACGAAGTAGAGCTAGACTCGCACAAGAAAGTGAAGCGCGACCTATCTAATGTTATTTCGCAGAGAACAGTAATCGAAATGATAAGACCATATAATCATATGTCTAGACCCTGGCATACTGTCTCACTAATAATCACGCCATCACCATGTTATCTCTCTATGCGTAGATCTTATGTATAACTGAAAATGTCTTTCGCACTGTTAAGTTTCATACAACTGTGTTGCATGTTACACATACTAAGTATTGCAGAAATAAAGTGTGCTTTAATCAAATACTTTTTTCCAATTAAATTCATAATTAATATTTGAAGTGAGAGGTAAAAATCTATGAGCATGCTATAAAGTGCACCATAATAGGTAGTTTTTACTCCTGATTATACTGGTAGCCTTACTTCTATAATGTACATGTACACTGAGTCATGCCTAGTACATACATTTAAGTATATCTGCCCTAGCTAATACTAATAATTTAATGGCTGATTCTCATCACCGATCTCGACGTGTGTAAACACTTTGTTAGATGATGAGCATACTGTATCTAGTATTTAATTACATACCCACATACTGTAGAGATATCCAGGGCTTCTCAAAAGTCTAGACATACTAGTAATTACTTAGTATATATCATGTAAATAAAAATCTTATCATCACACAATCATACTGAGGGTCACTGATCTTAGTCGAACCCTAACAGATTTAATATTCTAGCGCAAATCAAATAATTGGGTACCCATGCATTTACTATTAAAAGACACAAGCTGTACCGTTCACCATATAAAGTACCTTTTTTGAAATTTGTACCCACCAAAATTTAATTGGAAGTTTAATATGGAAAAAGATTTGATTAAAGCACACTTTATTCTCTGCATACAGAAGTGTAACATGCAACACAGTATGATAAACTTAACAGTGCAAGAAGTTCATTTAAAGTCACAGTAAAGGTCATATGGCGACATTCCTGTTTAACATGACGCCGCTGATCTAAAGTGCCCTTCTGTGCATCATTTCAAACTATAGGCACCTGAGAAAACTCCAAAAACTTTGCAAAACTAACTCACTGTGATTATTGGGGTTTACACTCAAAAATGCAATTGGGCAAGTGAATTGAAGGTACACCAAAATAGGTTCTGCCATGCAGATCTTGAAACTGCTTCAAAATAAGATTGTGAATTCAATCTTTATCCATTAATAAGGTTTATTTTACATTTTTTTTACGACCAAACCTTTGCTAAGTGACAAAGTCATTTGATTTAATAAAGCAATGTATAAAGCTAGCATTGAGATAATCTGTGTAGACAGAAACAAAGTGCATTATGACAATACCTCTGCAGAATGAATCTTCAGGAAAAGAAAACAAGAAAGTTGTTACTGTTAACATGAAAACAGAAAATGACACCACCAACAACAACAACAAATCACTCTTGTTATAAGCACGCAACAACTATTATAATCTACATGAAATAAGAATAACAAGCAATTATCATAGTATTGCAAGCAATCCATAAGTCCCCTACCGGTTAGAACCCCATCAACATTCTGAAGGGCCATAGGCCATTCACTAATGTTTCCATTTTTCTCTATTTTAAGTAAATTTGTTGGAAAAGTCCTTTAAAAGTGATCACAGGAAACAGTTTTTATGAACAGACAGACAGACGGACTGAAGGACACTCTAAAGTTAATATTTGAAACATCCCTGTTACCAAAATATAACATTTTAAAAGCAAAATTCTTAAAGAGGAGATAACTCTTGAATTAAAGATGCAATTTCATAAACATTTTCAGCTCTTTTTGACTAATCACAAATATTGTGATATTTGCCATGTTTTAAGCCTATTTGTGGCCAAGGCAACAGATATTTTTTCAAAATAGGAAAAACAGATAAAACATGCATAATCTCAAGACTGCTATCTACCCATATGTCAAGTTTCATAAAAATATTTCCAGTACTTTTTTGAGTTATCACTGGATTCAGTTTATGTGTATAAAATTTGCCATATTTTTCAGTCTATGTGTTGCCATAGCAACCAGAATTTCAACATAGGAAGAAAAGAAAAAGACGTGCATAAACTCAAGACTGCTATCTACCCATACGTCAAGTTTCATAAAAATATTTCCAGTACTTTTTGCGTTATCACTGGATCCAGTTTATGTGTAAAAATTGCCATATTTTCAGCCTATTTGTTGCCATAGCAACCAGAATTTTCAAAATAGGAAGAAAAGAAAAAGACGTGCATAATCTTACGACTGCCATCTACCCATATGTCAAGTTTCATAAAAATATTTCCAGTACTTTTTGCGTTATCACTGGATCCAGTTTATGTGTAAAATTTGCCATATTTTCAGCCTATTTGTTGCCATAGCAACCAGAATTTTAAACATAGGAAGAAAATAAAAAGACGTGCATAATCTCCATACTGCCATCTATCCATATACCAAGTTTCATAAAAATATTTTCAGTACTTTTCAAGTTATCGCGGGATCCAGTTTTGTGGACGGACGGACTGACAGACAGACGGACGGACAGACGGACGGAGGGTAAACCTAAAGTCCCCTCCGGTAAACCGGTAGGGGACTAAAAAGAGTGTTATTTAGCGTTTTTTTATACATTACTGATGAAATATCACTTTTGGACAAAAATATTTTAGAAGTATGTTTATAGTATGCATAGTACTAGGTTCAATAAAGGCAGACCTAAGTACCCCCATTACAAAGCAAGCCTGCAGTCTGCACAGACCGTGACTATGCTCTTTGCTGTTTTTGTTCCATTGAAATATCTTAAATTAACAAAAGAGACAATTCCAAATTAAAATCTAGCTTCTTTAACATAAATTGAGACCAAATGAACATTTTTTCTATATATTAGCTCTTTTTTCTTTCATTTATATGTTGGAAAAATACTTTTTTTCAAACATCTGGTTGATTTTAAAACTGTCCATTGCTAATTTAGTGAATTTCAATATCAAAATGTTCTGAATAAAACCGATTATCAAACAATGTAGTGGAACAGAATTCTATGAAAGGGTGAAACAATTACAAAATCATGCTAGGAGGACAACATTTTTCTTTTGATAGTTTCATCATAGTAAGAGAAAATGTTGATTCAAGAAGGAGACAACCTCTGCCAGTCTCTGTTCATAATAGATCAACATAGCTGTGTCATTATTTAACAGCATATTAAAATAGACGTAATATAATTACACTGTGTAAAAATAAGTTTTAAATTAAACAGGCTCTATAAGAATGCTCAATAAAGGTTAATATAAGCACAGTTCAAACACTGTTAGTATGAAAGTCAAGCAGCAGTTCTGCAAGAAAAATATGAAATGTCTCTGTTTATACTTGGATATTCTCAAGTTATATCAAGAGATAAAAAAAAATCCATTTTTTTTTTTTTTTTTTTTTTTTCCTCCATGTTTTTCATGGAACCACAAAATAATAATGTTTCTACTTTCTGTGTGAAGTCTGCTATACTCAATAGTAGGTATTATATTTTCAAAAATTCACCTCTCAAATTACCATAAACATCCTTTTGCTTCAGTGATCATAGTCAAATTATACCCCCCACCCTGCAAATAATTTATGGTTTTACCCCCCCTCCCCCACCAATTATAGACTACTGGTAAAATTCAAAAGATATAAGTGGCATACTACAAAATTAGTAAACAGATTTTCCCATTCTAATTTTAACATAAAGGAGAAGAAAAAAATGCCCTTTCATAATAGGTTTGAAGGATTCTTGTAAGATTCTAGTATTAATAGCATTATAAACAAAGAGTAAAAGATGAAAACAAGAGCTGGTAATCTATTCTACTTATGACACATACAGGCGGGGTCTGTAAATAAAACACATGTTATGTATAAATTGTTAAATTCTACTGTGCAAAACATAACATAAAGACATCTTATGAACAGACTACTGTATTTAACGAGTTGCAAATACAGTAGACAGTTCATTGGGATGACTAATATTATATATCTTATAGTTAAAGTGCAACCTTTTAATAAAAAAATTAGGTTAAAACAATTCTTATCAAAGTGACCATAGAAATTTTAATAGCAATTTTATGACTTCATAACATATTTTTCAATTAAGAACACAGAAAACAAAATTGGTAAAAATTTCAACTGCTCTCAAAGAAATCAGAATAAGTCTCCCTATCTTTTCTGTTTTGTTTTCATTTTCTAACACAAGGCATCACTGGAAAAAGGTTACACTATAACATGGGTTATATCAAAGTGCAGCTACCTGATCAATAATGAATAAACACGCATTAATTCATAAACTAACTAATATCAATATTACAAATATTACCATAACAAATTGTTATTAACACTTGCTGCGATAAGCTATAAGCTTCAATTGAATCTGAAATCTGACTTTTCTTTAGATCCTTACTACTTATTCTTTTAACTTAATAGCATCACATTGATATGTAAATGTACAAGGAAATGAAACAGTCACCAACTCAAATAAAGATTTATCCAAGACAAAATCAGATATTGATATGCCCCTCAAACAATAAGCAGCCACAGGCTTCCATAAGCCTAGAATTTTATCAACACCATCTTTAAGCCTTTACCAACAAAAATCATGCTTACAATAATGATGATAATAATAATAATAATGATGCACCAGTCATTTGTTATACCATCCTAATACCCTGAAATATTGCAGGAAGTTTCACTTTGGGATTGTAACACACTGCTAAAAACTCTCAATCCAGATTTGCTAAGTCAAACATCCCCCCCAATCCCTGGCCATTTTTGTTGCAAAATTAAAATCAATGCATTAACCCAGAGCAGTAAGACCAATTTCCCCTGCAATCCCAAAACTTCCCAAGTTCAAATTTGGCAGTAACAAACAACTGGTAAATTATATTAAACACATTCTATAAAACATGAAAGGTCGGGATAAAGTGACATTAATGATATCAATACATTAGTACTGACAATATAGCTGGACCAATATCATACTTACATCCATGATCTTAGCTTGTTCCTTTCTTCTCATCTCTTCAAGTCTGTCTTTCTCCCGTCTCGCCTCCTCGGCCTCTCTAAACTTCTTGTTCTTGTCTTCTACACCCTGTTCTAACTGTAAATACAATAGCAATACTGATATAACAATTTAAAGTAACACATGAAAAGAGAAATGCAACTTTGACTTATTGTTTTCTCTCACATCACCTTTCGTAAGAAGGAATGATTTTAAGTTAAAACTGAATAGTTAAGGTTATATAAATGGTGACTTTCGGAAGAACACCGTTTAAGATGAAGGGTTTGTTCATCTGAATTGAGCAGACTGTCTGATATCACCATTTATTTCACACCTTATAAAATATAACATATCAACTCAGTGTTTCAATCACATGATGTTCCAGTAGAAATCAGTATCTAATTCAATTGCATATCTTACTCCATGTACCCTCATTTCCATTTTCAGGTTCAAAAATTTATTTCATTTCCTTACTGTACCTAAAGTCTGTCAAAATGTCAACAAAAAAATTCCTGTGAAGGGAAAAAAAGCACTTTTCAACGAAATGCCAGATTGAAGTGTGTGCTAGAAACTTACCATTGTAGCCCTCTTGATGGCGGAGAACTTTTCTTCCTGAGCATCTACAGTTTTCTCAAAGTCCTGCTGTCGTCTCAACAACTCCTCTACTATTGTAATGTTATCACCAAAGTTCTTGTCCTTGGTCTGATTCTCTCTTACTGACATCCATCCCTCCAGCTGTTCCATCTCATGTTTCAATTGCTACATTTTGTAAAATATATACAATTGTTAGGAGTGCTTAAAACGAAATAAATTAAGTCATCTATTATTAAAAACCAATCGCTAATGGCTTTACAGGATATGGAGTACACTTTTGAATATATATCAAACAAAGAAATTTTTATTTTGGTCATATAATAAAACATTACTAGTATGAAGATTTTGTGAATATCCAAGTAATACTTATTGACCTGGCAAATGTTATATTCACCTTATCTTTGTACAATAATTGTACAATCATCATTCTCCAGAGTTTCTATAATTTTTCATCCCACAAACTGCCTACTGATTGAATCTCAAATAAAATTTCAACAAACAATTATGGTTGTAGGACACACAGAAAAATCCACTAGACAGCAGACAATATCAAAACATTGCAAACAAAATTTCAAGCAAACACTTTCTTTCCAACAGGTCTAGTTAAAAACATAGTGTAGAACATATTTTACATTACCTGTGCCTCCAAGTTCTGTTCACATAAGACCTTTGTCTGCTCTAATGTGGAAAGTAATAGTTTCCATGCAGAATTCAAGTCTGTAATTTTTGCTTCAATCTAAAAAGGACAGAAATTTTATTATTGTCCTTTAAACATATTCTTTTTGGAGCAAAAATTTAAGGTTCATACAAATGTTAGGGGTACTGGTTGGGGACCACCAAAACCGGACGGCCCCGAAAATGCTTAATTTAGTATTTTCTTTGTTCAGTGGTTGTCAGTCACTTTTTTATCAACAATAAGTGCATGATTCTTTAAAAATTAAGTAAATAAATTTATTTCAACCTCCGTAAATGGTAACATTTTAATGTCTATTTCAAGAATGTTGACTGAGATTTGGGGGGTCAAGAAAGCAATGCCTGACCTCATATACCAGCTATAACCATTTGCAGAGTTAACAGTAGAATATCCAAAACTTCAGCATTTGTTGCTGAAATATTGTATATCATGTTAAAAATCAAAAATCAAAACACCCAAGCTTTTATCTGAATTAAATCATGTCATGTACATATCTGTCCGGACACATGGTACTGTAGTGTATACAATTTAGGTTATTTTGATACCCTCCTTGTCGATCCTCAGATATAAGTGTTTATACAATCAGAAATAAACGAACTAGTTTGTTAGTTAGGAGAAGAACCTAGCGAAACTGTGTCAAATTTGTTGGTCTCTAGGTTAAAAATGATGAAATCTGTATGGAAAAATGTTCAAAAATTGTCCGGTTGATGGTCCCCGACCAGTATATTGAATAACATTGAAATTGAAATCCCACAAGCTAACATTGAAAAGGTAAAAACTGAAATCAAAGGACTGATCAATGATACAAATTCTGCATAGGTTAGACTATTTCTAGTTAAAAGTGTACATTTGTCAAATCTATCACACAACTAAATGTAACCATGTAACAAAATGTGAGGAAAAACTTGGAAGAGATATCTATGCTTGTAATACTTAGAGGATGACAGCAACAAATCATGAAATGTAACATATTATCGTTTTGATTTGATTGTTTCTAAATATGACATATACCTGATCACTGAGGAAATGTTTCTCATCAATCATAACTTGTCCTGTCTGTAGGAACCTATTTACAGCATCTTTTCTCGAATCCACCTCGGAACGATGCTCCTTCCAGCGTGACATACTGGCCTCGGCACCTTGAAGGTCTCGAGGAAACTCCATGGCTGTAATCACTGCCCTCATCTCACTGATCCAAGCCCTGTTGATAAACAAAGAAAGGATGTCACAAGTATTATCTGTTCAGGGTTCGTACAGACATCCAATGCCAAAATTCAAGGACTTTTTAAGCACTACTTAAGCACGTTTTCCCATTTTTCAAGTACATTTGTTGCACCTATACCGACGCAATCTTCAACCTATGATGGATAGTTTGTTCACCATTTTTTGTTGAATACACATTTTCTGACAATATAGAAGAACAACTAAGGGTGCATCAGGTACAGATTAGTTTAAAACAACTGCAATTTATCCACTTACTGTTACCTTGAGTAAACATTTCATTGATTTTGATACTAAATTGGATCTTTTTTTTATTTTGTTAACCGTTGATTTTTATCAAAACTATGTCATTCTGTGATTCAAACATTTTCAAGCACATTTTTAGCTAATTTAAGCACTTTTTAAGAGAGTAATCAAATTCAAGGACTTTTAAGCACTTTTTTACTTTTTAAGCACTTTTTAAGAAAGAGACTCAAATTTAAGCACTTTTTAAGACTGTACGAACCCTGCTATTACAAGGTCTATATAACTGACTGTTTCTAATATTTTAACTGATGCACTTTAAACGGCAAGTCAAATTAAAGGCATTCACTTTTTAAGACTTAATTATCTCTCAACAACGAAAATTAATTTTTCAACTTTGAAAATGTCTTCATATTTGATGAAGGTAACTACTAATAATAATGAACTTTAAAAAAATAAGACATGCATTCTGAACAAAACAAAATTATTTTAAGACTTTAGTATTTTACAAAATCTCTCTAATACCAAGTTAACATAATTATTGCCAAAAAGGAACGTAAACCTTTCTGAATACCAGCAAAGGAGATAACCCTCATTAACTTCTTTAAATCAAAACTGACAATATTGGTCGTATTATAAAACAGTCCTAAACGTACATTAATTCTCTGTAGTCATTGAAGTACATCTGTAATTGTTCCGCTTGGTTAAGTTTCTCTTTCCTCATCGCAGCTTTTTCCACGAGGATATTCCAGGCCTGTACCATTTCTTCATGTTTGGCAGCAATATGCTCCTGGGCATCTGGAAACTGACTAATCAACCTCTCAGCCTCCTTGGTGATAGACTCTACCTGCTCACTGATGGCCGCAAGGTCACGCTGTGAATTGAAATATTTATATTTTGCACTACAAGTTATTTCTTTGTTTCTTAAGGAAAGTAAGTATCAAAATTCAAAACACTATGTTGATATCATTTTGCAACTTTATAGTTTTAAACACATCAGATAACCCTTCAAAGCATATTCTTCACACAAAGACCAGAATAAAGCCATAAAATTTTTAAAGGCTAGCCACATACTAGCAACCCATTAAGTGTTTAAGACAAATGATTCAATTAATCTGAGCAATAGTAACCACTGGAATTAATAGACCTTAAAATTACTAACATTTATTACACATACTTCTGCTAAAGTTAGAAATATCATTTTCTATCCACAGTGTTACAAGTCTGTTTATTAATATAAACTAATCTACCTGAATCCAAAAACAATATCACAAACTAATAAATTACCTCCATGATTTCATGTTTGCTAACTAATGCTTGTGCAGTTTCAAGGTCATGGCCAAAGTTATCACTGGAAACAACGCCTTCTTTTTCCTGTATCCATTCCAGAGTGTCGTCTGCATCACGTCCATATATATGGACTTGTTTTGCAGCCATGAGTGCCTGAATTCAAAAGATTCATTTAAACAATTTTACATTAGCAGATAAAATGCCTTACCTTTAGTGTTTAGCCAAGCCAGATAAAAATCTGACCAAATATTTGATGGTGCCTTAATTTTAGAATTTTTACACTAAGGTCACTTGAATGAACAACAGACTGTTCTAATTCAAAATCGGACAAGTACATCACATAAATCTAAGTTTCAATGATTATTTACTATTTCTTGATTATCAATATAAATCTTATGAGATCATATAGTTGTTCTATCAATTTATTGCAAGATGTAAATAATAAATTCAGAAAATATTTCATTTTTACCCTATTTTAAAAGAATTTTTCTTCCAAATTATTGATTTTTTCATTGTTTTTATGCTCTTGTTGGGATTCAAGGGCTCTTCAACATCTAAGGATAAATTGGTTAATTTTGATTTTACAGAAAGGATCTTAGCGTGCAACCAGGAACCTTCCAAAAACTTTTAAAACATGTCATCTACAATAATGCTCGGAAAATAACCATGAACTATGTACCTCCTGTCTAGCATTGGTAACTTCCTTTAGCTCCGCCCACATCTGTGTAATTTCAGTGTTCTTTTTCTCAATCTTATCTTTCTCATAGTGATCAGCTTCAATCATTGCCGCAGCTTTACCTTGAAGTGTTTTAACACGGTCCTCACTTGCCGTCAATTCATGCATGAAGTCGTCAAACTTCTGCTGCAAGATCTGTAACAAATAGAATGTGGAACAGTTTGAATACTAGCACAGTAATACTATTTTGATTCAGCCAAGTCTTTTATTTTAGTTTACGATACAAAACTTAAACTAACTAAAATGATTCTATATACTAGTTCAGTTTTTTCTTCCTCTTCATTTTACTACGGAAAAACTAATGTCATTGTAGAATATATGTCATTTTAATTTGGTTGGGTTTCAAGGCAAACCGACAATCTTACATTCTAGCTTTACTGGTTGAGGAAGACTTCCAAAGATCTTCAGCATATATTTCATGCACAAATAAACAAGAACTTCTACCCATCTTGTGCAAACTAACTGGATAAAATTCTGAACATGAAAATATTCTGCAGTCCCAAGCATTATTTATATCAACAATGATTCAACAGTGATGAGGGGTAAAGGATTTGAAGTCAGTGGTCTTACACAACTGTAACCAAGGCCATCCTTAAAAAAAATGTTTGTTTGCAGTAACGCGACCGACTCACAAAATATGCC